TAACAATCAAAGTTGAAGTTTTGAAAAATGGCCTCCCCAGTTGTTATTTATTAAGGGTTTCAACACTCAGAATTCGTCTCGTTCTGTTTATCAGCACTGTGTGGGTGTGGTTGGAGCAGATGTGACTCACAGTGGCCTGGCAACATAAGCAAACAACCACAAAACTATCACCAGATTTTTCATTCTGATGTTGCTAAAACCTGATTTGCGCACGGAAATATACTTGACATCAGCTTTTTTCTAACCGAGCTCCACCCTCCTACAAACCAGCGGAACGACACAGAAGACAGTGCTTTTATGTGGGATCCCATCACTCACAGTCAAAATGCTGGACGAGGAAAATATGTCAGGGAGTGATCCCAGAGATGACCGCTTGATTCACTGCTGCTGACGAGCTCATTAACATTAATTGTTGGTGGCGGGCTGAAGCTACATGACTGTGCTCCTGTTGCACCACAAAAAAAACCTCTCAAACAACAGTGCAATATCTGCATCTATCTGTCTAGACTAAACAATTCATTGATTAATTGAAAATTTAATAATGGAATGGATTAAATACATCGTGGATTCACTTAAACAGTGTAGAGAAAATCTCAGTCTATCCCTTCCATCACATTGTGTGCGGGAATATTGGCCTACTGTCCCTTAAAGAGGCCCAGTGTGCTTCTATAGGCGGCCACAGCACATGAAAAAGCAAATCACTGGTGGTGAGATCACTGTTGGGGAGGCGGTGGAGTGCCGCATTTGCATACTGAAAAGACACATACCCAAACACTGAAAGACGGCCAATTTTCTCCTCTCTAAAAGCAGTGGACAGGTGAAAGAAGACCTCACCCTTTTACAAATGGACCTCAAAAAGAAGAAAGAAATTCCTAACCGCTAATGTCTCTTTTCAGCCTCTGATGGAAATCCCTCAGATTTTACCCCCCCACCCCCCACCCCCCCACACCAACCCCCATAAAAAAAAAAAAAGAAAAAAAATTTGAAAAGATTTCAAACCCGTCCTGTACTTTGAGGATTGTGAATGGAGTGCCCCGCAGCCTGCCTGCCTGCCTGCCCCATATACGATGGCTGAATACAAAAGACCCCCTTCTGTAAGAGCAATCACTCCGGGAGACCACTCTATCTGCACCGCTGCAGCGACGGGCCTCAATGGAGCCATCAGCACAGGCTCTGTTGTCACACACTCTCGCACATGTGCACACACTCGCAAACACAAAGACAGACACCTTGCATGTAAGTATTTATTCACACACACACACACACACACACACACACACACCAGTACTTTCAATCCATTCCCAAACCCTCATGGCTAATGCATTCTTTTCATCCTCCAGTGCTGGGCAGGAACAGGGAGGGAGATGAGTGGCTGGCGCTGATTTGAATATTTAAATTATTTATCACTAGAGAGTATTGAGAGCCAACGCATGCCAAGGGACACGAGGGAGCTGGGTCAGGGTGAATCTAGCCATGTTTTGGATTTGATAATGTTATTGCCAGTGGGGACAGGAGAGTGGGGAAAAATAAACAAGGCCACAGTTACAGATTTTGATGGACACAAGATTTATGTTTTTAGTAAAAGGTCAAAATCTTTATGTGAATTCTGAGGATAATCACAGAGCCTGTGTAGTAATGTGAGACTGGCCTGGCTTTCATACTCTCAAGACATTACACTCAGTGTAAATCCAGTATTAATAAAACTCTCAATGTTGATAATCATTACATTTCAGTTTGTGTTTATTGCTCTTGTATCCCGAGTCCTCCCACCCTCATGTCATACCCATGTGCTGCGCTGGGACCGTAAAACATTTTTATAAATAATAGCTCACTGTGGAACCTCAGTAAAAAAAAAAAAGGAAGAGGTTTGTAAACTGAATGATGTAATGCGCTAGGTCCTTAGAAATATCCGACAAGGGAGAGTTCCACTTTGGCTTCAGAGCCTGAGAAACACACACTTGCCTTTCTCCGATAGAGAACAATCCTGGGAAATGGAGGAATTTATGATTGCTCACGCGATGACAGGGCTGCAGGCTTGAAGGAAAAAACATTGAAATTAAATTAGGAATAATTCATTGAGCAGTTAGCACTTTGACAGCAGATCTCCACCTGTATGAGCCACTTTCTGTCCTTTTTATTTTTTAATCTTCCTCCTTTTTTTTTTTTTTGTCTCTGTCAATCTTTTGCTTTTACCTCGCCTGCTCGTTTAATGTACAGGCTGTAGCTCAGTCTCCGTCTCTCTCCCTCGCTCTATGCACTCAGCTCTAAGTTGCAATCTCCAGACAAAGGAAGTCCTCGTCTAGCCCCCCCCCCCCCCCCCCCCCCCCCCCGTCGCTGTCCTTTTCCCTCTCTGGTGTGACGTGCACAAACACAGAACCGGTTCCTAATGATAATCAGAACCCGAGAGAGGATTCTACTTTCACTGTGATTTAAAAGAAGATTTTTCTTTGTTTGCCCTGGTGCTTGAGTGAGCATGAAGGTACTCATTAGTGTCATCTTTACAAAGCCTGTGATACATCTCATTGCATCAAGTTACTATTATCTTCTGTTAATGCGACTGTGAAGCCCACAAATGAAAGTTTATTAACAATTCTTCTTCCAGTTTGTTACAGTTGTTTTGTTTAAACTGCACTTGTAACTGACTTCATTAATTGCAGCATTCAAAATGAAGCCCAGGTATTGACTCAGTGCAGTGATTAGGTTATTCTGACGAAGCAGGAGACACAGTGGTTGAGTCTTGCAACAGCAAATACAATCAATGACTTTTTAGTTCCTGAGAGTGGCTCCTGTGATTCCATAGTTGTGGAACTTGTTGGTCAAAAATGAGCTGTTGTATGCAGAACACATTTTCACCACTGAACCCAGCCCATTGTTTTCTTTGTTTTGTCATTGTTTGTTTGTCTTCTTATTTTCTTCCACGGGGCTGCATGGCTTCAGGAAAATAAAATTTACAATAGTCCTTTGATTGACATTCAGCTTTTGCATTGCAATTTTGTATTTTGTGGCCGCGGATGATCGCATGCTCCTAGCTTATGCATAATGTAATGTGGCTCTTTATTTTTTTATTTTTTAGCAATTAATATTTGACTGGTTTGCCACCCTCGGGCTACAGGCTTAAGCACAGCCAATACTTCAACTGCTACAATGACCAGGCTTCCAAAGAGTTAATCTGATGGAGCTGAGTGGCCTGATACCTGCTAGAAACTGATATGAGATCCTTTGTCTCACTGTCAGTCAACAATCAAATTGCAGAACATTGAAAAAAACATTGACAAATGAAAAACACAAATTTAGAAAACTACAAGCTCCTGTTTATTTCCTTATTGAAAAATTTAAACAATAAAAAAGAATAGTCATAATAGTCAAAAGGTCATTTGTGATGATTTCAGTTTGACTTCAGTGCTGAAGCCTGGTGTCGGCTTGTTAGGGGGCATTGCCTACAGCTGAGTGTAGTTTTTATAAAGCCTGAGGCCAGTGTTTTCCATCCAGCCGCTGAGAGACATGCTGTTCTTTTTCAGGCCTTTAAATCTCTAAAGCTAATGAATTTCATCTTCAGCCTATGACCCACCCAGTTTTTTCCCCCCAAATAAATCTGAAATTGTCTTGAATAGTGAGAAAACACATGCTTTATATATTGTGTTAAAAATGAACCCCACATATCAACAATGTATGGGAAACACTGGTTTCACTGCAGACTGTTTTTCCTTGCGTCCACTTCCCTTTAGCTTTGTTTTGTTTCGTGTTTGTTAGTGTTCTCGCTGGCACTGGCTTCCGACAGGCGACCTAGAGTCAGGAAAATAATATGAGCAGAGATATTTTTAGCTTTGACAGACAGTGTAATATGTATGCCAGCTTTATCGTTAATCAAATTTCGGATATGACTTTCCTTTTTTTTTTTTTTAAAAAAAAAACTTCATCTTGTAGAGGGATTCTCTTGTATGGCTCTGCGTTGTTGTAGCTGCCATCCCATTCATCACTCTCGATCCCTGTGGTGAACTCATTTGTTGCAGTCAGTGAGTGTACACGAATGCAGCTCGTGTCCCCGGTAATGATCCGCTAATTATGAGAATCCACAGCAGCCTCAGGGGTGTGAAGCCACCTGTCCATTTGTGTGTGCACGGGTACCTGTGACATATGTACATGCTGTGTGTGTGTGTGAGTGATTGAGAGCACATGTTTGTGGATTCAATCATATACTCTGTGGCCTGTTTATTACATTTGGCACGCTCATTGCATTTGTCTATTAAATTTTGCTTATGAGTGGATGATCAGGAGGGTGGAAAACATTATTCCATATGAGGCTGTAATATACATCCAGCATGTGTGTGTCAAGATGCAAGATGATGAGCCATTTGGAAATAACAAATTTGTTGTGGACATATGGTAAAATACTCAATTTTATAATATATTCTTTATTGAACTTAAAGTACTTAAAGTATCTATTTTTTTATAATACCAATTGATCACATGACCACTTGTATAAGAAAGGGGTCGCTTATTGTGACTTAAAAGAAATGATCATTTGCCTGTGCAGTTCCCCTGATCATTTTCATCCTCAGCAAACAGATGCTTCCTGCCCAATACAGAGACACAAATTCAAACGAATGCTAATGTGGGTTTGTATCTCCCGGATCTGTAAATATGCGAGTTGACTTTGAAGGTGTTTATTGTGTAAACATGTCAGTGTTCACAGCGTTCTCCTGCAGCCCCCAAGTGTCCAGCTAGTCAGTCTTTATGGGTTTAAAAACATAAAAACACACTAAATATGCAAATAACTCCCTTATAAAATAACAGCTACATTTGTCCCCGACCAGATCCCAACAATCTGTCAACACAACACAATATTACAAAAAAAAACTAACATGAAAAGGATGGAGTGAATCAGCAGAAATGTTTAAGAAAAACAATCAAAGAAATGAAACCATTCATTCTCTTATAATGAAATATTGTATCTGATGATGTGTATGGTCAACAATAATTTATTTCTTCTGCTCTTCCAGCCGAGCCATCAAGACCAACCAGGACCTTCTTCCTGAGACTCCGTGGACCAACATCCTGTATGACGACTTCTGGGGCACCCTGCTCACCCACAGCGGCAGCCATAAGTCCTTCCGTCCACTCTGCACCCTCTCCTTCCGCCTCAACTACACCCTGCACGGCCTGCGTCCGTGGGGCTACCACCTGCTGAACGTGGTGCTGCACGGCCTGGTCACCGCCCTCTTCACGGCCTTCAGTCGCCCGCTCCTGGGTGGAGGATTGTGGAGCCTGCTGGCTGGTCTTCTTTTTGCTTCTCATCCGGTTCACACCGAAGCAGTGGCTGGTGTGGTGGGGAGGGCGGACGTCGGCGCTGCTTTGTTTTTCTTGCTGTCTCTTCTCTGTTATGCGAGACACTGTGGACTTCGTAGGGATCCGCACGGGGCCTTCGAGACAAGGAGATGTGGAAGCGGCTCAGTCACCTGGTGCTGGGGCTGGATGCTTGGAAGCCTGTGGTGTGCAGCAGCCAGCATGCTGTGGAAGGAACAGGGGGTGACGGTGCTGGCGGTGTCGGCTATTTATGACCTCTTCGTGTTCCAGAGACTTCGATTTCGCCAAGCACTTCTCCTCCTGTTGGGAAAGGTAAATGAATGCATGCTGCCGAGGCCGGTGTGTGTTCACTGACTCTTGTTTTGGAGTCTCTACGTATCCAGTTTCCTCTTCCTTACCTCAGAGGCAAACCACAGCCAGCCAGCTTTTAATGGTTCCTGTGTGGTGGATTAAGTTTTTTTTTTTTTTTTTTTTTTGTGTGTACTTATGGTTTTGTTTGTGTGGAAATGGCGTGTGTTTGCTTTTCATTAGGAGTGTAATTAGAAAAGCTGTTTGCACATGCAAACCACACAGTTGGTGCATGGAAAGTAAGCTGTTCTCATTTGTCATCTGCAAACAGGAAGAAACTATATGCAGACGGGGAAGTTTTCCACTTCCTCGCAACACTGCCACCAACTTCAATTTGCAGCAGTAAATAGATGCACATTAATGCAAGGAAATCTAGATTAGGATCTCAGCCTCATTATGTGTACGTATGTGCGTTCATAGCCACTGACGCTGAGCAGGAAAAGCTATTTTCAGGGTGACTTGTTTTTTCATTTTAAGGTGACAAAAAGGTATGTGTAGAAAAACAATAACACAGCCTACTCTGGTAAATGATTTGGTCCACTTGTCATGTAAGCTGTCCAAACATACACGAATGTACACACACACACACACACACACACACACACACACCTTATGCTTCCTCTGCAGGAGGACTCTGCAGGACTCCATTTTCTCCTCCAAACTAAAGTTATTTGAGGAGGACAACCTTGCTGCAGTGACTCATCTGATTATGGGAATCAGTATTTGACTGGAAAGCCTTGCACAGGCACTCCACATTTGATTAGAGAAACAGCTCCTTAGCCAACATGATGGCCCTCGTAAAATGCATAACTAGCGTAATAAAAAGTCCCCTTGGATTTACGGAGCAAGGACACTCTGGCTGTGTGTGTGTGTGTGTGTGTGTGTGCGTGCGTGTATCTGTTCAACAGGATCTTTACGTAGTGGTTTGTGGAAACATCTATGAATACCCCTGTTTGCAATATAACCTTATATTGTGCATCACCAGTGTCCTATTGAAGTTTCTGTTGTATACAAACTCCAGTCCATGTGTGGCTGTCGTATTCGTGCTGTCAGCATCCAAATGAAAACACGTTCTACCTTCAGATGTTCGAGGCTTTACCGTACCTGTGGGGCAGCTTCTCCAGTAGTTGTTTCTGGCAGAGTGATAACCCACTACTCTTATTAAAGGGCTTGCAGTGAGCAGCCCAGAGAGATCAGAGCGGGGAGCAAGAGGGAGTTATGATGTTTTTTCTTCTCTGCGCTTGGCAGGAATGACTCACACGTGTGTGCTTTCACAACCGCTAGACCTTAGCAGATGCAAAACAACACCTGTCTTTCAAATTGTACTCGGCCGTCTAGTAAAGCTGCTAAATCATGTTAGAGTAGCTACGCAGCAGGAAAGCGGATGTAACTCATTTTCTGATGGGGAGACAGACAAATGTATAATACATGTTGTAAACCAGAGATAAGAAAGACACACTTAAAACTTGAACACATCAAAATACTTTTGATACTTTCTACTTCATCACTGTAGCACGTATGGAGAGTACCAAATAAAGGTCTTTGTTTTCTAGATAAGTGAAAGGTAAAGTTTTGTCAGTTTAAGTTAGGCTCCACATTATCAACAAAAAATTATGAAAAAGATTAAAAAAATCAAATGAACTATAACTCTTATTAAACTCTTACTAACTCTTAATAGGGATGATGGGATTGTATTGTATTATCACAGGTTCCCATGATTGTGTCAGCCTCTGTAAACACAAACTAAGTAAAGACAAAACCTTGGAAATGAAACCACAACCTGAAAGACATGGAGCACTACGTGCTCCCGTCTGTTGCATTACAGTCTGAAAGATTTCATCACCCTCAGCGCTTGTCAGAAGCCCTTATGAAAAATCACACTTCTCTGTGTATTTATTACGCAGTAGAGCAGGGATATAATCAGCAGCCTCCACCTCTCTGCTCAGACACAATAGCCCTGGCCAGAATCCCTGTGCCAGCCTGGTGCCAACCCCACCCCCAGCCCCAGCACCTCCCGCCACCACCAACACATCTGGCTCGTTTATCACTCTGGCAATGCCCTCCTCTGTTGCCCCGGTCACGGTTATCTTGGCAGGGAGCTCGTTATGTGCCGGGGCCAGCCATGAGGGCAATCATTTCCTCGATTATGAGCCAGACGTCTCGGGACGCATGGGAACACAAAAGGGAGAGGGATATCTAGAGAGAATAAGTGAGAGAGAGGGAAACTATGCTCTCACTTCCTTTCCTTTATCTGCTCTTGGTCTTTCTCACCCACTGTGCCCTGAAAGCCCTTGGACCACTTGTCTTCTCCTGTATCACACTCTGCCACTGAGGCACTATCAGTTGCTATTGAATTGGATAGCCGGTGGAGAGATTGCAAACATTCATAGTAGAGAACAATGCAACATGTGAATTTTTTTTCTATCCAAAATTTTCCATTTATTCGAAGATGAAGCAAAAGAATGAAAAATCCTCCACATCACATAACCCGACCGCTGCCGCACAGCAAGCCACAAACAATAAGGAAATGCAAATTGGCTCCGGTGTAGCAGGGGGACAGCTGCGCTTCGACCAGCACTCCATTTCTCATCCTATTAACGCCCTAATCAGACCAAGATGAGATTTCAAATGAGACAAGGTAGGACGGAGGGAGAGTTAGAAAGTGATAGATGGAGACAAAGGAAGGTGTGGTGTTAGCGCTGCAGTCTATTGAGAAAGCAAAATGAGTCTTATACGCCAGGATCATAAGAGCATAATGTCTTTGTTCTTTTCACTTTTAGTCAGCGGCAAAAACAAACTGCTTGATGAAAGAGGCTCCAGGCTTTAGACAGGGCCCAGGGAAATAGCTTGCATGAGGAAAAGTCAAAGATCTCTGCTTTGCCTGAGGTAAACCGTGAAACCTTGGCGGGCAAGATTGATTTCATTAGAAGGCCTTTGTTTCAATGGAGCGCTGGGATTTTAAGCATTTACTTGATTGGAAAACAGAGATGTAAGTGATGATAACTTTCAGAAGTCCTGCATGAAAAGCTTTTAATCAAAGGTGTGAAATTAAATATACTTCCTCAAAGAAAAACTAGACTGGATTAGATCACTCCTTCTAATCCTCCATCATTCACACCTTTTGGATTTTTGTCACTTCATTGTGTGAACCTGGAGCCAAATGAAAGATGACAGTTCTACCGGAGGCACACGGACAATGAAGGGATTTGATAGTGTCCTTACCAGTTTGCAATTAAAGTGTTACAGACTCCTCGTCATCGTTTGTCTCAATGAGCGCTGCAGGCACGCAGATTAAGTTCAGGGTAACCAGCTGACAGCTTGATGAATGTTGTGCCAATTATCCTGTAGCAGAAGCAGTCGGCTGTGAAATGATGCCCTCTGTTGCAACTTCTGCAGGATGCTCTTTAGTTAGCTTGTATTCATGTGCATGTTGGCCAGCCAGAAAGACGTGTCTTCATTCTGTCTGACATATCAAAACATTGGGTCTCATGCGAAAAAAACGTGTATTCTTATCTTAAACCACCTACTTTTCGCTGTGAGATTTGGTCATAATAATAAGTTACCAAAAAGTGTGTAAGATTTGATCATTAGCATAGTCCACAACACCCAATGTAAGGCTGCCTGATTTTAGCCAATTTGTGGGAAGTTTCATTCACAAAAATGTCAGCAGAGTGTAAAACAGGACTGCAGAGATTAGAGTCCTGCTCTCGAAAACCAACAGACAAAAACATAACAAATTTAGCAGTGCCAGAGGTGGTATTAGTGGACCAGAAATGTACCACAGTAATATTGAAGCTAGGTGCCAATAAACATTTTGCCCAAGCAAAGTTGGTGAATGCAACAAGCTCCCTTAGACCCTGTTTACACGTTGTCACCTGTGTACCATAGCCAAGTGTAAATGGTTCCAAGAAGCCTTAGAGATAGATTGAAATCTGACTGCTTGCATTCTAGCCAGTTGTTGAAAAGGTGTAAATGCATCTGTTTTCTCCAAGATTCTTGTATTTACTCCTCCAGAGATTAACTCCGTGACTAAATGCTCCTGCAATTTAAACACATGCGATCGTAGAGAAGGTGTGCCAGGCTGTTTGTCTGTTGATTGTCTACTGAATGATCTGTATGAGTGAGGCAGCAGGTGAGTGAGTGTAAACAGGGCCTTGAATCACTTGAATGTGCTAATTAAATCTGTTCGTACCGCTGGCTCTTGCATGAGGCCCATTGTGTTTCTATACTTGGAGCAGGCATTGAAGCTGTTCATAGTTCAATATGATAAAAAATTGATGGAATCTTTCAAGTAACCAAAAATTGGGTTAGCTAAGCTAAATCAGATGCACGACATCTCACCAAGAGCATTAAGGATCCTCGTGTTCCACTAAACCCCCTCTGATTCTGATGTCCCTACATTACTCCAACAGGATGCTCTTAAAATGTCACATTAAAACACAGACAGCTCCGCTGCTTTGATCAGCTGTCCAGCATGCAAGGCTTCAACCTGTGACCCATCTCATTACAAGTCTCTGTGCCTGCAGCAGCAGGGCTTTCATGGGCAGAACTATGGGGTAATTAGGTCAGTCTATCAAAGTTAGTGCCGGCCATGCTGCCGTCTGATGGCTTGGGTGAGTTGCGCCAAGTCAGCAGAATCGAGAGCACATTAGAAAGCTGGAAAAAGAACTGCTTGCATGCCTCATTGTACCTTTCATCACAGTTTAGCATGTCACTGGTAATGCATCAAATATGAGCACTGCTGGATGCGTGTTGTGCAAACACACTGTGTCCAAACGCTGAAAGACCTTTCCATACACATGTCAATGAGAAAGAATTACCCCACAGTAGGCTGATGTGGCTCCCAGTGCAACTTTAACTGAAAGAATAGTTGGCAGTTGAAGTTTTATTTTGGAGCTTCTTTCCAAGACATCTATAATCAATCACCATCATGTTTTTTTGGCGAATAACATTTTAATTTAAATTTCTCAAACAAGTAGTCGAAAAAAATCCCATGCATGATCAGCCTCGTATGTTGGAAAGAGTTATGAGCAGTTTAAATTAGACATGACTTTAACAAGGAAAGTCCGGAAGATTGTTCCCCTGCTGTCTTGCGTCAGTCCACAGCAGCTTTAAACAGTGCACACATGAATTCAGCCATGTCCCGCTGTTTCTTCAGACATGTTTTAAACACTCTGCATGCTACAGTGTCAACAGGCAGACCACACACTTCTGGGATTAATAAAATACGAGCTAATGATGAATAGCACGGTTAAAAGATGAAGGCTTGGGAGCTTAAGAGTGTATGTTTATGTGTGGAAAGAGAGAGATGGGGAGAATAAGAGAGGGGTTAATTCGAGAAAGAAAGTGGATAATAAACTAAAAAGAGAATAAGAAGTAGTTGAGGGAAAGCCACAGAAATTGACACTGAATTTCCAAATGAGGATCCAAAGTGGAGGAGATATGTGGAAGAGAGTTAGGTTCAAAGGCTTGGAGCGAACGGGATGTTACGTTTGACAGCTGGCTGGGGATTATGCCAGCCATCCTCCATGGATACACAGTGATTTCATGAAGGTCAATCAATCATAGCTGGAACTAGTTCCCAGGAATTTAAGTCAGACACCAGTCATGCTGAAAATGGTGAAATCTCTCATCTCTGCCGTTTTGTGTTTCAGTGATGCATTCTTCATTTTTCCCACTGTTAAAATTGTTTGTAAATATGATGCGACATTGAAATCCAGGACTGTTTACTTCAAAGGAAATCTGCACATATTATGTCTTATTCTATTAGTATTAAGTGTTTTAGTATTTTTTATTATTAGTATGCAGTACATACTGTATAGAATTATTATGTATGGATTTGGGATGCAGCTTATGGTTCACACTAAGTTTGCGCATTCACACAAAGTAAAATCAACAATAAAATAAAGTGTCATAGAAAGCAGAGTGAGCCTCATAAAGGTTTCCACATAAAATTTAAATCATTTCAAACACCCGTCTGAAAGTAAGCACAGAAGGTAGAGCTCCCTGTATTAGCCATTGTTGCTCACAACATAGGTACCTACTTGGATTTTTCCTTAGCATGGCCCTCAGTCTCAGAGCGTCCACAAATGCCTGAAAAATACTAGAAATATTTCTCAATTGAAGTTCTGTGGTTGAAGCGAAGAAATAAGGAAAATAATTTTCTTTTCTTTTCACTTACATGAGGAAGCAGAGCATATTTTCTCTTTGCAGCGTGGCTTGTCAAACGCAGGTGTAACTCATAACCTTGATTAGCTCTGCCCTGGCTGCTGTGCATGCTGGCGTAGTGGCAGAGCCGTCGTTACTGTGATTAGTTACACCTGTGCTCCTCCCGCCAGTACACGCCATTAGAAAGGTCTAAGCAGTGTCCGGTATTTTGTCAAAGTTTAGCTGTTTTCCAAACTGAATTCCCAGAGCAGATTCATAGATCCTGAGGTAGCTTTTTATTTTTCATTTTTGGATATTAAGTCACTTTTCTGTACAAAATGTATGAACAGTTGGAGATTACTACAGTTTTGAATTGCCACAAAAGCACAAAACAGCTAATATTAATAGTTGTATTAGTCAGGATAGCGCCCTGCCAATATTCCTTTTACTGTAGAATCACAACGAAAGCTGGAATTGTTTGGAAAATCAATAAATCAACAGCTAAGTAGAGAACTTGAAGGACCTTTTTGGAGCAATTAGAGGCTGCAGTTGAGTAGGGAATAAAAGAGTAATGCTGGATCATTGAAGACCTATTTTCAACAGACCACAGAAGACTCTACTGAGTGGAGAGGAAAGGTCACACCAGACTTCAGCAGTATTGGTTTCCACTCTTACAGAAATCTTTCCATTTCATGGCTGCTTCAAATGACCAACCTGCAACCTGTTGCCTCTAAAAACAAGCTTATTGAAAAAAAAGCTTGTGTTAGGTTGGCTGGGAAACTGTACTGCTGAGTTTGTGAATTCATGGTCATACATCTTTGAAAAGCTGAACCAGCCTATGCTCTGCGGTTTGAAGTGTTTGTGTGTGCGTACGTGTGTGTGTGTGTGTGTGTGATTGATCGGGAAGTCAATTAAGGAACGATTTAGAAATAGACAAGGCAGCGAGGGGTAAAATGAAGCTCATTCACCTAAATACCACAAATGACTCTCTTGCTGGAATTGGCTTATCCTCTGATACCAAGCAAAATTGGATTTCTCAGACAGTTTCCTCCCTTGACAGACAGTATGGGCTCATCCATCAATACGCACCCCCCTCCACCCATCCCCCTTCTTTGTGTAAAAGACACTCTCTCTTATCCTTTGTGTACCACCTTTCAGCTTACAAATCAATATCCAATTTTTTTTTCCACTCTCAGTTCCTCACTACCTCTCAGGGTTGCTCCTTGAACTGGTCTTTTTCCATTTTATTACTTACAAGTGGCTTTCTGTAACTAGCTGAACTTCCCACCTCCACCTCAAGGAACATGCTGTTCCATGTCAGATCTGGAGAAATCAATAACTGAGCTGGAGCCAGAGGGTCAGGCGAGTCAATGCTAAACCTCTTATTCTAATCCTAACATATGGTTTGTTATGGATAACTTGTGTTTTCCATTATGGTTCCTCAAAGTGCTCACGTGAGCTTATTCATGCATTGTAAGAGAGGGAATATTGCAGTCAAAAGTTTATTAATGAGACAAATGAAACCTTGTTCTTTGTGCGCTGTGTGGCTCTTAAAAAAGATTTTATCTGCCTATTGTGCAATTCATTTAAAGAGGATTATACAGAGTCTAAATTATAACCATAGTAGAGTAAACTCACTTGAGAGATAAAAGCAAAAGTAGGGCTACGCTGGATCAACACTTTGAGTTATAGAGGCTCTGGTGGTGATTATCAGTTATATCAAACCCAATACTGATAACACAACTACTTGACCACCAATATGTAAACTTCTGTCCTGCGTAATGATACTACACAGTATAAACAGCACTTACTGTACCCAAGCATGCACACACACGCATAGCTCTAATACCCCTGGGACAAGTTCAAATAGAGTTCATATTACAGTGGTGCTCGGAAAGAATAAATGGGCTCAGAAAATAGGAAGTGAGCAGCATCTCTGTGATCAGCACTCATGATGTTATGTTGTATTTAGTCCACTTGGTAAACTCTGGGAGGAACATGATTAACAAGCACTTTTTTTTCTTTGGTCAAGGCTTCGCCAGGCTGTCTCTGTCCATAAGTCTGTGCTGATGTGACATTCCAGTTTAATCAGTCTTAAATGAAAAAAATGAAATCAAATTTACTTAATCTGGGCAAAAAACACACCACTAAATCAGATTGAAGCAGTAATTGATTTCAGAAAGTATCATCAAAACGTGGTATTGAAGAAGTATGACATCAGAGCATCTGACGGACAGGAAACCTAACAAAAAAAAATGTCTCGCTGTCATCGGTCTCAACAGCTACGCCCTCCCATTTCTCTCCCATGTAATTTCACAAGTCGGTGTCCAAAGGTCAACAGGTCAAGGAAATCATCATATAATCTTGTCACATCTTAGCAACCGTAACGCAACTTCCAGGCTTGCAGACATCTACACAGCCATGGTGAAGCAACTGAAATGAATTATACTTTTGGCCCTGGAAAATACCACATAGTTCCTGAATTAAATTTATGCATCAAAGACATTTTCCTCCCTTTTTTTTTTTTTATAAACAGTCACCCACCGAACGCTCTTTATATTTGCTTCCAAGTATCTATCAATACAGCCATTAGGAGTTTAACATAATTCTGAACTTTTGCTATTTAAACTTGGAAGTTTATAAAGAGACCATTCAGTTTAAGTTGCAGCCAGGGCCCGGGTGGCTTGTGACAGTTCGGTGAAAGGTGTTGCGTGACAGAGGACCTAATGGTGATCATGCTACAGAATTAATGCTCTTATGAGATGTAAACAGCATCTACATACCAACACAATGAAGCCTAAGCTGATTACAAGTCACACTCACTGCAACCCTGACAGGCAGCGAGGAAAGTCTTAGGACGAAAGCCTCTCATGCTTCAAATTTACTTCAAAGTTGACCCCAACTAGGTCAGAACTGAAGGGAGTGAGGATTACTTATGTATGGAAAATTAAAGAAATAATCCTTACTTCACATCCATATGGAAATGTGTTGATTTTGCTCTGCTATTATCTTTGATTTTTAACTTTGGGATTTTCCCTTGTTATACTTAATAAAACGTTCTTGACATCTAAGAATTTACTGGCAAACCAAAAGTAAAATTCAAAACGATGCATCTTTCATCACTTTCAATATGACATATTACATTTAAAATGATTATTTCTTGATATAAACAGTCGTATTGTTGCTGACCGAAAGTGACAATCCATTACAGTGCACAGCTGTGCAAATCCCAGTGTGTCTTTCACCAGTCTGAACATGTCAGATTTTACTATTTTCGTGTAAACAGAGCTGTGTTGTTTCTGGCTGTGGTGTATTTTAATTTTGAGAAGTATGCCAGTGTTACAGAGAACTGTATAATTGTACATGAGTGCGGTTTAAGCCCCAGACAGCTATCAAAAACATTCCAGAGATTTCTAGTTTCTTTTTCTATATACTGTAGCAGCAAAATGATAAATCAGGGAGTTTTTTTTTTTTCTTTTGCGGAGGCGGATAAATCAGACCCAAAATGCTCATACTGATGTGCAATATCACAAAGAAAGGAATGTGTGTATTAATATCTTGCAGTCTACAGAGATAAAAAAAAAATTAAAAATAGCTCTCTAAATGAAAACAACATCAGGTGCTCTGGAACACAGACAAAATGCTGTAGCTTTGACTGAAATGTTTTCCTGAGTTTTTTTTTTTTTTTTTTTTTCTCTCCTCACTTCCAGAAAAAGAACATCAGTGTTTTGCTGAGTCTCGGCATGCTGGCTTCCTGGGGAGTGATTCTGCTGTCAGCTCGTCTCTATTGGATGGGCAACAAGCCTCCCAACTTCTCCAACTCTGACAACCCTGCAGCTGACTCGCCACACTTCCTCACGAGAACACTAACGTTCCTCCACCTGCCCGCCGCCAACGCCTGGCTCCTGCTTTCCCCCGACAAACTCAGTTTCGATTGGTCCATGGACGCCGTGCCCTTGGTCAGATCCTTGGCTGACTGGAGGAACCTTCACACTGTTGCCTTCTATGGTGGATTTATCCTTCTGGCTTTGTTTGGCCTTCGTGGTCACACCTCCAAAGCCAAGGAAACCAATGGGAAAGCCCATATTACTAATGGGAAATCAATCACTAACGGGAATGGTTTCCATGCTCCTGACACAAACCATAACACAGACCAGGGGCCGCCAAAGACCACCCTGAACGGGTCAGCTGGACTTCACCACTGCCCTCCACGGACATCCCTGCCCCCTACAGAAAACCTAGTGCTATTTTCATTAAGCATCCTGTCAATGCCTTTCATCCCAGCTACCAACCTATTCTTTTATGTAGGTTTTGTAATTGCAGAGAGGGTCCTATACATTCCCAGTATAGGCTTTTGTTTACTGGTTGCTGCTGGTGCAAGAACCTTATATGTCAGACTGAGGACTAGAGGCTGCAAGGCCTTACTGTTGTGTCTCTGTATGGGACTAGTGCTGCTGAATGGACTCCGAACTGTTCAAAGAAACAGGGACTGGAGCGATGAGGAGAATCTCTACAAGTCTGGGATCAGTGTAAATCCTGCCAAAGGTAAGAGAAGGGCTCCAGGTGTCAATGGGGAGTGAATTCTTTGTCTGATACGTACAGGGGTTTTGCTGCAACAGCCTTTCTTGGACTGGTATGACCAGTAGCTAGCTTATAGTGGCTAATTTTGGTAAACTTTTAGATATTCCTGTACAGCTGATATTAGGGTGTCAGTTTGCCGACTTGTCTTTAGTTGTGCTACTGCATCATGTGCCATTATCTCGTGTCACTTGTTGCCACAGTGACGGCATTACCAAAAATGTTCTTTAATTCCCTAATTTAAGGTGCCCTGTGGAGGTTTTGACCGCTAGTAATGTCTTTATGAGTGATTACTGGCTTTGCTTTGTGAGGACACACAACACTATAGACAATCTCTATGGTGGTTTCACATTATTTCACTGACAGTAAAAGCATGTAAAGCAGTAAAAGCATGTATACAAGTAAATGGCAATTATTTATGATTTAGATAGCTGGTTACAGATTATTTTGGCTAAATGACAGCAACAACAGTATTTTTTTAAATGAAAACCAACATTGTGTTTTTCCACTGAAAGTGCAACTTTTGACTGACACCTCTCCTGTAGCCTGGGGAAACTTGGGGAACGTACTGAAGAACCAAGGCAAGATGGCAGAGGCGGAGAAGGCGTACAGAAACGCTCTGCACTACCGAGGGAACATGGCTGACATGCTGTATAACCTGTAAGTGTTGAAGATGCCCGTTCCGCCTCCTCCTTCCTCCTGTTTGCAAAGTCTTGACACAAACGAGTTCTGATTCCTCCCATCTATCACTTGAGATGGCAGCGGCAGAACAAGAAAGGCCGAGAGAAAGAACGGAGAGAGGAGAGTGACAGACGAGAAGGCGAAAAACAAAAAACAAGATCTAATACAGGAGGAAAGACGCAAGTGAGACACAGTGCAAGGCATGATGCAAGAGTGTGGCAAAGAGGAAGTAACTTTGTGTGTCCCAGGTGGCTCTCCTTCTACCTTCTGCTACTTATTTGATTAGTCGTGGTTTGAAGGGCTTGTGGGAGAACACAAAGCCACTTCCAATCCTGCAACGCAAGGTGTCAAAAGCACCAAACCCTCACAGCAGACCCGTGTCCCCTGCTCTCATGCTGACACTGTTTTTCTCCCCAGTCCTCTCTTCCCTCTCAAGTTACGAGTGTCAGGAAGCTGGCAGAGCAACATAGAGAGAAAGAAAAACCGAATGATGGTGTTTTTTTTTTTTTGGTGTTCTTTAAAAAACGAAGTTGCTATTTGAACATGATGGATGGTTGGGTATATTGAGGTAATGCTTTGGTATTTTTGGTAAGGGATGTAGAAACTGCTGTGTTTTTATTTCTTAGCTTTCACCCAAATTCCTCTCATCAATTTGACGTGCTGTAATTTTGGTCAAATCTTGCTTTTGCCTTCACAGCTTTAAAACAGCAAGACAAATCCTCTGCTCTGCCATCGGTGGTGTTGTAAAATGTCTCATATTTTTGCTTTTATTTTTGTGTGTGTGTGTGTGTGTGTGTGTGTGTGTGTGTGTGTGTGTGTGTGTGTGTGTGTGTGTGTGTGTGTGTGTGTGTGTGTGTGTATGTGTATCAGAGGTTTGCTGCTGCAGGAGAATGAGCGTCCTGCTGAAGCGCTGCATTATTACAAACTGGCCATTGGGAGTCGGCCAACACTGGCATGTAAGTAAACTCCAAAAAACAAAAGAGAGAGAGATTTTGTAGCTGATACATCAAGTGGTCAGGAAGAGGGAAAGAGTAATCGGCGATTAGATGTTCTCACATGTTACTCTGGTTTGGCTGAGTTTTTGTTTGGATTAATTAGATATGAGCTAAGGATCTTTTATTGGATCACCATCGTGCTCCAATTTTGATGCTGAATTACATGTTCTTTTGTCACGCGGACATTCGGAGGGCCGTATTCAGGCCATTTCAGCTTGAAGGGGAAATGATGAGATTCACTGTAACACTTGAGTGCTCACATGTCATTTACTGTAGCAAGGAGAATTTTCTGTGAGAGGGCAGGTCTCCACTCTGCTTGATAACCTTCAATTCTTCCTGGCTTCCCTATAGCTTAATCTCTCTTCGGCCTGATTTATTTTCTATTTCTTTTTCTTACTTACTTTTCTCGTGGTAATTTTATCTGCCTTTGCCCTTTGTCTTCTTCCTTTTGGCTATATTATTGCATGTCCGTCTTCCCCAACTATCCACTGTATAAACCCTCTCCCCGTTCTTAAATACTCAATTAAACATTTTTATTGATATATCATATATTGATATTTATCAATAAGTTAAGTGTTAATCAACTGACCATAATTCAATAAAAAAAAACCTTTAACAGCCTCATAAAGCTAGATTTAGTTGGTGTCTGGTGTTAGTGTGTTTGTGTTAACAGACCTGTCAGTGAATGTGCAAGCAACAGCAGGTTCTAATGTGCTTGTGTCTATGTTTTGAATTTTTTTTTACCCATCATGCTTTACCATCATCTCTCTCTCTCTCTCTCTCTCTCTCTCCGTCACAGAGGCCTACTTGAACACAGGAATCATCCTGATGAACCAGGGCAACCTGGAAGAGGCCAAACGCACCTTCCTTACTTGTGCCGACATTCCTGATGAGAACTTGAAGGACCCCCACGCCCACAAGAGCTCCGTCACCAGCTGCCTGTACAACCTGGGAAAACTGCTCCATGAACAGGGCCAGCAGGAGGTTAGTGTTTGTAGTTCGCAGGACCAGCAGCTGAAATGAAAGTGTCAGACTGGGAACAAAATACTCCATGATTTAACCACTTATCTCTGATGTCAGACTAAAACCTCTGCGATTTAGGTCTGAGAACGCAACTGTGTAAATAGTGAGGCCTATTTTGCACAAAATAAAAGTCAAGGCCCGCATTATGCTGACACTAAACCAAAACTGGACTTGCTAAGTTCACCGTTTTTCCCCTACTGCAGGAGGCCCTGTCTGTTTATAAGGAAGCGGTGCAGAAAATGCCCAGACAGTTTGCACCACACAGCCTTTTCAACATGATGGGTAAGTCACTGTCAGAGCCTGTTTCACCCTGAATCTGTTTGTTTGAAATACCCCTGCTGCAATTGCACGATTAAAAATTCACTACCTTGTTGATACCTGCTTTGAAATGTTAATTTGATGTATTTTGATGAGGTAATACGAACACATGGTGCATGTAATTAAATTTGCATCAGCTGTGAGCGTTGTGCTTTTATAACAACAGTGTGGTCCTGGGTCAAGTTTGGCCTGAGCTTCAGTGATGAATCTTACATGTTTGTTTCCATTTCAGATGTTGCTCTTCCACTTTATCTGAGCTTTGAATTGAATTAAACAAATTGACATGAACTCGCTGCCAAACAAAACCTTCAGAGGACTTGAACCACCTGTTGGATTTCAGCACCGAAGCTCAGAAATGTGTGGACAGACTTTGTGTCCTCTTGAGGAGAATTGAAGCTAATCCATGTAATAAATCACATCCCTCTCTTTGTTATTGTAACGCTAATTACATTATTGGAAGCTCATCCTGATGGCATAGTTGAGATTGCAGGGAGATGTCTGCATGGACTCCTCGGACAAGCCGAAGGAGAAGAGGAAGTGTGTTTTGTCAGATGGAGGGAGGGGTTGGAGGAGGGCAGTGTTTATATCAGAGTGATGTCCAGGGGGATACTTTGTTAAAGCTCGTGTCGTTTTTACCCCAGGGGCTAACAGCGTGTCGTTAGATCAAACAAAATCTCACAGGGTTTCAAACACAACAATTGTTCTTTCAGAGAAAACGGTGTTTGGGGTTTATTCAGCATGTGAGGAATGCAGAGTTCAAGGCACTTTATCTGTCCTGCACCTGTTAGAAAATACACTGTTAATAATAACTATTTGTCCGTGCACCAGGGAAGGGAGAGTCAAATAAGAAAATCAAATATTTTAACATGAATAAACATTTTTTCTTAATTAAAAGATAAGAAAAAATTATGTCAGTGATCAGTATGCCGATAATAAAATGCATAAAGAAAAACAGCCATAGTTCACAATTTTAAACAGGATATTGCAAATTTAGTCTTTTGGTTTTTTAATCATTATTACAAGAAAAAAAAAAACTCCTGATGTGCGGTCTGTTTCAGGAGAGGCCTACATGAGGCTGAACAGGCTGGAGGAAGCAGGCCACTGGTACAGAGAGTCCCTCAGGGCCAAGCCTGACCACATCCCTGCCCACCTCACTTATGGCAAACTCCTGTCCATCATTGTAAGTCCAATTACACACACATACACACACACACACACACACACACACACACACACACACACACAGAAGAAGAAGCATGAAACCAGACTGAGCATTGTCTTATTAACGATTGCAGTGGTTAACTACCTGGTGGAGTGTAATTAAAGGGGGCCTGAAGTGGCAGAGTGGAGTGATGAATAATGCATATTGAGTGACTTATGGGACATTGCAGCAAGGTGAAGCAATCCTATCGATTCCCCAGCGGAGCCTGAAGACCTGCGATAATTGTTATGAGGTGTGAGCTTCTGACTCTGAAAGGTGCATGCTAAACAAACGCCCCTCTCCCCTGATCAGACGTCAAGCAGGAACTCTGCTGCATTCATGAATAAAGTGTTTGACCTCTAGCACCACTATTCGAATAGATGAGAGGAGGATCACTCGGTGTGAAATGAGAAATTAAGACAGAAATGTTGCATTAAACACCTCTTGGGTGACCTTGGATCGACCCTGATCCAGGACTGACGCCAAACAGCTAGAAAGGAGCTTCATAAATTCATGTCTGATGTCTGAAGGTCGCGGTCATGGGGAGTTTTGTCTGGTGTAGATGAAAGCTATCTCTCTGCGATTGGATGAGTTCCAGGTTATGTGTGTGTTTTTCTGTCCCTCACTGTGTCTGTATATGTATATACGTGTGAGTGTCAGAGAACATCAAGGGCACACAAGTTTGCCCAACTTCTCCCAAATGTTTTTTTCTTCTTTTTTTTTTCTGCAGGAAAAACTCACACTTCCTGTCCACCCACCGCCTCTCCCTTTCCATAAAAACAAAAACACATTTATGTGACAGCAGATGTGTTCACAGCTGAGTCAAGTTTAGATGTGGGAGCTGAACCGCGTGCCCTTTTGCAACCTCTCTAGAGATGTTTGACCCCTTTGCTTCCACAGCCTCGGGTACTGAGGGGAAGACGCAACCAACCTGCTGCGCTGTCCTGTGACACACTCGCAGCTGCAACCTTCATGGGCTTTAAACCTTAGTTCTGATCATTTCCCGTCTTTGTTGAAAGATTTGAAGATATACATAGCACACACACACACACACACACACACACACACACACACACACACACACACACACAAGCCTAAAGCACAGGCTCAGATTAGAGTCGCCCGGTGTGGCTGGACATCTGCTGTGCTCCCTCAGGCTCGGGGCTCCAGATCCATGCAGGGCCCTGACTCACAGAGAGGCCCCCCTCCACTACTACAGGGCTTAAGGAACAGGAGATTGGATGGACCCTGGACAATGGGCCAGTGGACAGACTTATAATGCAATTACTCTGCTTCCTTATTGAATAACCCCATCAGCTACGTTTTTGGCTGTCCTGCCGAAGTCAATCAACAGCACAGGCATGGGGAGGAAAGGTCAAACTGAAGTCTTGTACTGTGGTTCACCCCAACATGTGCTGTAGTGCTGTTTGGTCAGTCAACAGTAAGCTGATTTATGCGTTTAACCTCAGCTTTGTATCTAGATACACTCAGAACTAATGCTAATCGCTGCCTCTCATTGTGGAGGACTGCTTAGTAATTCAAAAACAGAAGACTACATAGGGCTTTAAAAAAACTGAATCTGACTTTTCATGAGTCTGTTAAATGAGGACTTGCACCAGCCGAACTGGACTGAACAACTCTACTCTCAGTTCTAATGGATAGCCGGGGGAAAAGGTTTAATTGAATGTAAAGAGAAAAGAGCCAAAGAAAATGTGAAATAAGCCATACAGGCCCAATATTCCCTCACTCATTTAGAGCGATTGTGGGCACGGGAAAAAGGTAATCAAGCAAACCTAATATGCCCAGTCCTCTCATTTCTTGTTGCATGGCGAGTCCAATATGGCAATGTGGAAGCAATCAGTGATGAAGCATGAAAGAAAAGAGGTGGAGAAAACTGAGCCTCATGCATAGAAGCAATATCTTGCTCAGGTTGGTTGCAGGTGCACGCGCACACACACACACACACACACACACACACACACACACACACACCCACCTACACCTTAGAGGTTTTTTCTTTAAAGGACAGGCATGGGAGGAGGGGTACTGTGTTCTTTATGAGCATCAGGTTCCTGCTGAGACTTAACAGCAGGGTTACCATGTCTCAACTGATGCATGTCGGTGCACAATTCATAGCAGATACAGTAAAATATCAGGTGTCGCAAGATGCTCAGCTTTACAGTATCCAGCCATACAATATGTTCTTCTTATGTTATACAGTATAATTTCCAGTATTATTTCATTGTCAAACTTGGCTCAGGAGTTTACTACTACAACTATACATATACATATATTTGCAGAAACGGTCCTGAATCTAAGAAACACTTTAACGCCTGAGAATTAGGTGCAAAGTTGTTTATTGAGAGCAGTCCTGGTGCACACCCGGACTCCACATCCCTTTCGGTCCAAGATTGGTGGAGGTCTCAACTTGAGGTCCTACACCACCTCTCTAGCCCTACTCAGTGTTGGCCTTCCCCTCCTTGTCATCCAAGCATCTGGTTCTGAGTTGTGATGGGTGCTTTGAATCTGGTATATCTCTATTGTGCATGGATTGAGTGTTCAAGAAAAATGTGTGGGTCAAAAAAGTGCCATGTGTCATCCATAAAAATCTTCTCACAAAAGTGAAATATCAGGTGTAAACAGTGATTTCCTTTTTCATTCAGGGGCAGAAGACAGAAGCAGAGAAGTACTTTCTGAGAGCTGTTCAACTAGACCCGACAAAAGGAAACTGCTACATGCACTATGGTAAGAAGAGATTATAGACATTGTAAACCCTTTTTAACAAAGCCCGTTTGAAAATGACGTTCAAATCTGAAAAATTGGGACGTCTCTATCCTCAGGAATGTCTCATGTGATTTACAGAGCAATGAAAATTTAATTTAAAGTCATTAAATATATGTATTATGTAAACCTGTCACTGCCTTTATCACGTTTCCTAAAAAAAATGATTTTGGAAATGCCCTGTCATTTAATTTACTGTTGGTATCGGTGCTGGGAGTGTCGGAGCTGTCTCACGCTTTGCAGATGGCGGCAGACACACGTACAAACAGGCATGTATGCTATGTTTATCTGAGTGAGGAGGCAGGATCAGGGTACACTGTTTACCATTCGTAACACATGATACCACGTTCCTCCTGCGCCGTTGTTAATGCTGCGTTTCATATCAGTGAGGAGGAACAGGCTTCTTGCTGCTCCATGTCGCTATCTCCAGGATATTCATAGGAAATGAAATCTGTCCTCTCTTGCTGAAAGCACTATTGTGCGTTGTCCCTTTCTCTTCTTCCTTATCTCTCTCCATTCCTCCTGGTGCTTTCTCTGCGCTCATATCTTGGGTTTGGAGTTTAGTTTTCTCCCTGGCGAGGGGTGCGTTGCTGTTTTTGGACCGAGCTGTTTCCCCTTCTTACAGTCTCTCCCTCTCTCTGCCTATCTGACTATTTTCTGTTTTTCTGTGTTATCTTGTAGCTTCTTGCTATAGGTGATGTTTATTTGGTCTGGTCCTCTCCTTTTATCGCAAATCTGGCTGCTTTAGCTACACTAGGTTCACTGGATGAGCTCCAGGTGTGAGTGTGTAAAGAGCGATGATATCTGTCCACATTACAACACAGCGGATGCGCACACAAAGAGGTACACATGAGATCGTGCAAGGAAGTGAGGACACTGAGGGTGATAGCTGAGGCAAGGCCCCCTTTCCTGCCATTGTTCACAGTAACACATTTTAATACAAACTGTCCCTCATACGACCCGGTTCTAAATAGTCGGCTTTGGCTGCACCCAGTCAAAAGCTTTCAGTATAAGAAAGCCAACGGACACACACCTCAGTGGAGCCTCCCCACATTCCCCTCATCCCACATTCAGTTACATCTGCGGCCGGGCTCGCCTGTTAATTTATAGCCACTGCGGCAGGCACTCATGGGTGCCACACCAGGTGGCCAGACTCCCACAGGAAAACACATGAAAATACCTCCGTCTCCTCTGTGTTCGCAGCCGCTGCCCAACAAAACAACAATCCTTCGCTCTCTGACTGTCTCACTTCTCCCTCGCTTTCTCTGCCTCCTTTTTTGCATTTCCTGTGGTGCTCATCCCTTTCACCACTTCCATTCATCTCCCTTTGTTTTCCTGTCAGTCTCCATCTTTGCCTGTCGTTGCTTTTGTTCCCTTGAATACCACTTCTGTCAGTTTGTTATAACACAAGTCTAAAACTAATATGTTTAATATTTTTTATGAATCAGTTTCTTAGCACAAAAAAAGCAAACAAAACACCTCTATTTATAAGGAACTAAGACTGTGAGTCTATGGCCATGCTAGCACCTCTATCTTTGAACTAAATGCTAATATCCGCATGCTAATATTCTCACAATGTCAATGCTAACATGCTGATTTTCAGGAAGCATAGTATTTACCATCTTAGTTTAGTGTGTTAGTATGTTGCTAAAGCTAATGTTGAGATATTTCGGTCTGGACTAAAGTGGTGGACTGACCAACAAACCAATAGGCCAACAGATCGGCACTGCCAGCCCTAAAACCATATAACTAGCATGGCTAAAAAACAAACAAACTACTAAACTACTACTACTACCCTGGTAACATGCACACTTCCTGTTTCTCCAGGTCAGTTTCTGCTGGAGCAGTCTCGTCTTGGCGAGGCTGCAGAGATGGCAGAGAGAGCTGCGGAGCTGGACAGCTCAGAGTTTGATGTGGTCTTCAGTGCTGCTCACATGCTAAGGTTGGCTAAACCGCTGACATACAACAACACTGCTTACAAATGGAGTTTCCCTACTTCAAAAAGCATGCAGTGCAGAAAATTGACTGAGCGTTTACTTCAAGAAATTGTTGTGGTTCTTGAAATCCAGAGTTTGCTGCTGTGCTGCTTCACCATTTGTGGGGTTTATCCTGTACCTCTGCCATTTCATAACCATCTTTGAAATATAAATTATACTAGCATTATAAAATATAGTAAATATCCTCTCCTTGGAAATAGCTGCCATAAAAGCTAATATGTATTACATATATAAACAGAAATACAGTTTCAGTCCATCATGGTGATGTTTCACTGTGGGGATTGTAAAGAAACCATAGGAGAATTTTCCCTTAAAGTTTGGCAAGCACGTGCGCAGACATCTTATAAGTCTTAAAAGGTGTCAAAAGAGACTGGAAATGTCCTCCACTCCCGGCAACTGAGGGGAATATTGGAGCAATATGCCTTAATTCCTTTTTGCTCTACATATCTGGAAAAGTCATTACTGCTCTCTAGCATCCACCATGAAAGCAACACCACAGAGGATTTGTAAAAAGTTAAAAGTCTCGGGGTTTGGCTGAGGTCTGCTCTTGGAAACGTTAGGAGTAAATCTAAATGACAGATTATTCCGCTGTGTTCTGGTCTGACTGCTGAGAATCTCTGTGACATGAATCCAAATGGATTAGGATTAGGGTTTAATAAATGCGACACACACCTGTCATTAACTGGATTTAAGGATAAAGCTGCTTCACTGATAATAAAGGGAGCTAGAAATCTTGGCTTCTTTTTAAGTGCAAATTTGTACATTGACTGCCCACAAACAGGATGAAAATGTAATGGGCCATGTAAATACAGTGATGGTGATGTGCTGAGTGATTCAACAATATCTATTTATTTTTTATCACATGTTTAAGATGTTTAAGATTTCTTTTAACCTGACTTCCTGACTCTTTGTTTAGATTTGATCAAATCTAATGTACGGAGCAGATTAACTGTTGCCTAATGTGGTGAATCGTTGCCCCAAAATGAACTGTAAACTGCATTATCAGCTATTTCACAGCTACTTACCAAAGAAATGAATCACTTGACGCTGTTTCCTAATGGTTCTGTTAGGAGCTAAAGTATTTTACAAGCTCATATCAAAAACATTTAAACATTGCTGCAGTCAAAAAATGAGCTGTACCACCCATTGGCTACCGTATTACAGTGTGTACCTGCTAGTTTACTCAGAGACTACTGAATAAAATAAGTCCATGTTTTTAGCTTTGTCTGCAGGAACAAAGAGTAAGATAATGTCATGAATTATTGTTGTTAATTAGAAATTAGACACAAATTGGCCAAAAGGATATGAAATCTGTGAAGATTTAAACGGTTTGATGTGAAACAGTTGTATGTTAATAGTAATAATAACTCTTAGAATTTCATTAGCTAGTCAATAAATATGCAATAAAAATAATATCATGATTTAAAGAAAATAATCTGTCACTATCCATGCATCATAGTGTGTAAAGTATAATTATTTTGGACATGAATATGCCTTCTAGGATTACTCTTGCACATTTTCTTGTTGAGTCTTGTTGATTGTTGCAGTTACCTGCTAAATAAGATGCTATTTTTTTATATTATGTTTAGCTATATTATGTTATGTAATCTGTTATTTAAAGAGTTAGTCCCATTGATATTGACAAACACACAGAAATGCAAAACACACAAGAGAGATGGTTTCAAGTGAAAGAAAATGTGGCAGTGTGAAGTAGTCAGGCAGTTCTTTTTTCCAGTAGAGCCACCTTCACATACAAGACACACTGGTGAGTCAGAAATTTATCTCCTGTGATAAAGCGTAATGCACTGTAGGGAAGAGGCTTTAAATGAAAACAATATGCTTTTTATAACTTTGGTTAACATGCAGTGAATCTGACTATTCCAATGAAAATGAAAAGTAACATCACCAATTAACGGTTAGTGAACGGCTAACTGTAATTACAGTAATTCATGTGATTAGTTGTACTGTACAAAATGAATGAGTACAATTATCACTCGTTTTTAGTAGTGCAGTATTATTCATATAAATTGAGTTATTACGTGCAGATTTTTTACTCTCCCTGCCTGCCCTCTGTTCTTCTGTCTCTTCAGGCAGGCCAGTCTAAATGAGGCAGCAGAGAAGCAGTATGAGCGAGCAGCCAGCCTCAGACCAGATGTAAGTACCTGGACTGGTGAGCCTGTTAGCACTTATCATGGAAATGCACACACACACACGCACACGCATGCACACACGCACACATGCACGCACACACACACACGCACGCCTTCACTGTAAATTCCATTTACAACATACTATGTATTACCCATCATTCTGACATTATGTTATAGTGCTGTTGTTCCTGGCGAACAGTGATAGAGCTGAACTGAATATAAAATGGAAACTGTGCATAGTTCATGGCTGTGAACCGGAGCCTTGATGTGCTTATGCAAACACCAACATCCCAAAGAGAAATGTGGTTACTGTCACACATTCGGCTTCAGAGTACACACTTGATCATCACAGTGTAGTTAAACAGACAGAGCCTTATGCGATACCATGTCAACACATGCAGTTGAGGAAGTTGGGGGGCTATTATGTCCTGTTTCTGCCTTGTATGAATCAGTCACTTGAAAGAAAAAGGGTGCGTGGACCGGTCTGGGAGCGGCTAATTTAGAGTCATAGAAACCCCTGTGTTTTCAGACAAGACTGAGAAGGAGCTTCCTGCACTCATTTGTCATGTTAATCTGCCTAGTGACGGTCTGCTCTGTGATTTATGTTGCCAGTTCAGTCAGGAGAGAGAATTAGACTTTCATCTTCATGCCCTTCACTGGGGTAACCAGTGTTATATTGCCACACCCTGTATAGCAGCGTTTCCAAACTTTTTTTTTTTTTTTGTCTGACGTAACCCCACAGCCATCCTGTCAGATGAACTCAAGCACCCCTTCACAGCCCTCATCTTCCAATGTGTTCTTTTCAAATTTATTCTAAACTGGATGTTATTTAACACCATTAAAGTTTATGAATTAAGAAATGATCTTAAGGATTATTTCAATCATTTATCCATTACTTTGCTAGCTAGCTTTAACAGTTTAGCCTTCCTTTCTAGCTTGCTAACTAGCTTTCCCACACTCTCAATGCTACACACTGTGTTCTGGCATTTATTTCAATTTTCTTCAAATTAGTGGAGCTATTCTACAATTTCTCCACGTACCCCCAACTACACTGCGAGTATCCCCCTGGGGATAAATGCTGGTTGGGATCACTGCTTTATAGCATCTGGCTCTTTTTAGATAAGGTCTGCCTGTCTGTTCATATCCCGTTTAAGCCTTAAAAGCAGAGTAAAACATAGAGGAGAAGAATGCTGGTTGTCCATTTTAATTTGGAAAGCGCTGTGTTTATATTTACTTCTGTGAAAAATAAGCTACCTCAAAGTCATTATAATTCAGTCTGGAAGGCTTCATGTGCACATTCAGACACTCTGAAGGTTTCTCTTGTCATTTGTAACAAGTAAAGCGCCTCTTGTCTTTGACATTTTCCCCGCACACGTCTGCTTAGTGAATGACAGTCTCTCAAATATCAACTTAATCCAGCAGCTTTCAGGTCATGAAAGATTCAGCGCTGGCTCTACGTGCTGAGAAAGGCAATAATCTTGTGCCTCCAGAGGAAGGTGCCAGGGAGTTTTTCATTTTACACAGACTGAAACACTTTATTGACAGCACTCAGAGCTTCATCCCACATATAACTGTGTCGTCTGAGCAGAAGAGGCAATGTGGAAAATGAGCAGTTGGTCACGATGAGCTCACATTGGAATAACATTTTTATTTTTAGTTTAAAGTTATTAATGCTAAAGATTTTAGTCCTGGTTGATTAAGCAACACCTGTGGTTACCGTGGTAACAGCAAGTGTGGTTTAATACAGTAGCAAAACAGTAGAAGAGTAAATGGGTGTGTCTCTGTTTACAGAGCAGAAAAAAAAAACATTTTAATGAAGTCAGTCAAAAGTAATTGCAACTGAGATCTGGAGTCATGCAGCACACAACGGCAAGTTTGTTACACAACAGCAGGGCATGGTAATGTTGGTTCCTGCGCTGAGGAGTGTGCAGGTGTGCAGACTGTCACCTGCAGCTCATCATCTAACAATCAGTTGCAAGCTTTTAATTTGAAGCAGCATCAGTAACTTAGTACAGTGTCAAGAGAGAAAGCAATAAACAAAATAATTCTGGATTATATACAGACTCCACCACTAACAATGATAACTACAATACAAAGAGGTAATTCCAGAATGTAAATACATGACCATTATTACTACCAATATTTTTATTCTAACTTAAGCCGGTGTGTTTATGGTCCACACTGGCTCATAGGGCAGGGTGCATCTCAAAAGCTGAAGATCAGAGGCAGATCTTATCATAAAAACACTAAATAATACATAGAAATACTGTATATCCAACTCGCTGAAGGTCAAGAGCTTACATCTGTTTCATCTCTGCGAACAAGCCCGACCCAACCTCAGAAGTAATCTCAGTCAGACGAGACACACACACAAAAAAGGAATTACTGACTTATGCTGGCTGCCTTCTTATATACACAGAACACATGTAAACACATCTCCATTTTTAATGTCCCCTGATCCCTTCTGGTGTGATTTAGTCCAGATTGTGTATTGTGTCTCACCCAGTTGTTTAGAATGACAAAGGGACCTTCATTTATCTGGCTTAATATGTCTCTACTGCTAACAAAGCTCCTCAGTGGTTTAAAAAAAAAAAATCAGAGCAAGGTTTTGAAGTGCTTTGAAATGAAACTGCTTAATACATTAATTTGTTGCACTAGGTGAGAAAAAAAAATGAAAAAGGAATGATAGTCCTGTGCTGCAGCTCCTCCCACTGTAAAACTGCATTAATTCATTAATTTTCCAGCATCTTTTGCTGGAAATCTTCCATCTCCAAAAGCATTCATTTGTAACATTAGATGAAAAAAAAAACAAACTCCCACCCTCACGGCTTGTCTTTTAACACTGCTTAAGAAGTGGAATGTAGACGAGTGAAACATCAGGGTTAAGAAGAGACGAACACTTGCGTTTGTGAAGACAAAATCTGTGAATTAGTTGCCAAGTTGCTAAGCATATGTCATGCAGTGAGGACGCAGGGCTGGGAACAAGGCCAGGTCTGGGGGATGAGATGCAGATGACTTTTAGGATGACATTTGGGTGTGTTTGTTATGTCTTGCTGGGAGTCATGTGTATGACCTGGATTTGATAGCTGGTAAAGTATTCAGGACCAGATGGTATTTTGTTAAATAGAACCCCAGAAACACAACTCTAAATGGGTTTGTTCATTCATATGATAGAAAATACTTAACACTCAGCCACACACAACCTGTAGCTACCTCTTTGTTCACTGCGGCAATGTCAAAGGATGTACTTTGTCTTTGGCCATGCCTGCTACTGTACTGTGAGATTTCATTGGGGCAAAAATTGATGCATATTTGATTCTCTTAATCGTAGGAAACCTGGAGACTTAGCTAAAATGCATTAATGTCTCACATTACTGTGTTCAATGTCGAACTGAAGGGCAAGTTTAAAATAGTTCCCGAATGGATAAATTCAAGGTCGACACAGTTGCCACAAGTGATCCTGTTACTCAACACCTCACATCTCTATAATTATAGCATTATGCACCACTCAGTCTCCTTTTCTACTGTTTTGTCCCTTTGCCCTCTCGTAGTACCCGGCTGCTCTGATGAACCTTGGTGCCATCCTCCACCTGAATGGGAAACTTCCCGAAGCGGAGGCCAACTACCTGCGTGCACTCCAGCTCAAACCAGATGATGTCATTACCCAGTCCAACCTGCGCAAGCTGTGGAACATCATGGAGAGGCAGGGACTCAGGACTAAGCATGGGCTTGGGACGCACAAGAGCGACCTTTGAACAGAGAGAGTCACTGCACTGTTCCCTCAGTGGTGATGAAGCGTCCTGCAGAGAATGAAGCAGGAAAGAGCTGGAAGCTAAAAGCTCTCTGTACAAGACAGGAAAGACAACTCCTTTAGAGTTGTGGCCTGTGATGCTTGTGGAAGACAGTTTGAGGCTCGGCACGTTTGGGATTGAAGGGGCAGGTTCTGCCAAACAATGCGTCAACATTGGTACTATACGATGGCTCAAACTACTAAAACTAATGTCATCTTTTGTATAGCATTTTATCATGTGATGCTCAGTTAAATTATACAGTGAAGTCAAAGGCAAGTAACTGCAACGTCCAAAAAAAATACGTTGAGATTGAAGATCTTAAATATGAGCTATGATGAAAATCTTGGGTTTTAGAGCACTTAATCTGAATGAGGATGTAGCAAAAGTATTTAAATTATTTCTGATGAATGGGTTTTGAAGTTGTCAACACTGACGAGAACTCCTCCGATTTTACACATCAGTCTGTTTGCAGGTCTTGGGGAGAACTGCTGCATATGTGAAAAGAGTTGTGTAAAGTCTTCTGTGGCTCCAGACAGAGCTCTGCAAAAACCTCAAGTGATGTCACTTCAATCAGCATCAGTTTGGTCTGAAGATGACAAAAAAATCTGGGGAGGTTAGAAAGAGCTTACCAGACCTCTGCAGCCCGCTCCTCATCTCTGCTTGAGGTTCACAGCTCAAGGCTACATTAGCCACTGCGAGCATAAAACACATGAATATCCCACCGAACGGCTGGTGGTCGAGTTGTATTACTGGTGATGTAGACACCAGGTTTTTACAAGGAAGAAAGGAAGAACTTCTTTTGCTGAACTGTTGATTGCAAAATCGGTGGAGTCCTCTTTTTTAAAAAAAAAAATGAAAATGAAATCCCTGATTAATTTCTGTCAGGGTGATCTAGCCTTGAACCTTTACTCTTAACATAGTAAATACTTAGCATTAAAGGCATGCCAGTGCTGAGACATCTTCAGGTACTACCCTCTAACACAGTGCTCTATAGTACATTTCTCCCACCAAGTACCAAGAACAGGTTAAATCATAACGCGTATCCAGTCGCATTCTGTTGTCTGAGTCACTGAAGATGGTTTGCACCAGGTGCATTTTAGACGCTTGTGACTGTAAAAATGTAAACAGATCATAAGAAAACTCCTCAGCGGTGCCAAAGCTTGTACTGAGTCTTTACGCCTCTCGTGCCAAGCAAGAAGTGTTGTCACTTATGTGTTGTGTTTCTTGTGTCAAATGAAGATGTTTCATTTCATGTGATCAAATGATCAAATTTAATTTATTAATACGTTTAAAAAAATGTTATTTTATGTGAAAAAGCCAACACTGTGCCGTTTCACTGTCATATTAGCCCACCCACTCTCGTTCCTCCGAATAGATAGGCTAAAATAGGCAACATGACAATGACATTAAAAATGTTTTTTATTATATGTGTTGTTATTTTTTTCTCTCTGCTCAGGGACATCAGGTTGTGATTCCTGTCACATAAAGGGTTTTGTGACACAGAGAGAGCTTCTTAAAATGATATTAGATGTTTTTGATGATTGTGATGTTTGGTTAAATTATAGAAAATGTGTAGCTGAAAATGTGTCGTGTTTTGTAAAGAAAAGTGAAACTTTTTCCATAATAAAAACATGATTTTTGCTCTCAGCTGTGTGATGCGTCCAGAGTGATGTCATCCAATATCAACCAGCCCATACATATATGTATATACTGTATATGTGAATACAGTGTATGTACAGACTTGACATTTGGCTGTGATCCAGTCACTCCATTGACTGGGGAGTGACAGGGTGACCCCGTGGCTTAGTCTGAGTCTGTCTCTCTCCCTCATTTCCTGTCATCTCTCCTCTCTCTGTAAATGCCCAAAAGATACTTGGGGAGTGATGGTAATGCCAAATAATACAAAGGTACGGCATAGAGTCTCCATATGTCACGGGAAAATATTGGGACTGTATGGAAGCAAAAATGTCTCACCAGATTTTGAAATTTGAAATAGTGTGAATTCGACTGAATTCAACTCTTAAAATTTTCAATTACTCATTTCACTGTTATTTTTAAATATTCACAAATTCAAAAAAAAAATTCATCAATTCAACATGTCACATGACCAGTGGAGTGTAACTTGATTGGCTGGTTTGATTTGAGACAGAATCGATTGCTTATCCTTGGTATCCCAGATGTTGAATCTGATTTTTTTACCCAACTTTTGGGATCTGATTTTGGCCTATCAAATTTGAACAACTTGAATATGTATAATTCACATTCACATTAAATTTATGAACATTAAAAAAAACAGTGAAATGATGATTATTGAAGATTTCAAGAGTTTAATTCAGAGTCGAAAAATGTCACAGGCTTTTAAATGTAAAAATCTGGTGAGACAGATTTGCTTCAATAGACTGTGTTCAAGAGAGTAGTTGTTTACATGCCTAAGAGCTAATATAAACTAACTTTGCAGCCCTAATAGCTTACAGGACACAAACTTGAGCTTGAACCTAAATATGAACTCAGGATATTAATGCTAGAACAAGTGACAAATTTGTAGAGGAGCAGGTTCTCAGGATCTAAGTACGGCTGAGGTCCCACACTGCCTGCAACTGATTTGTACAGATGTGACAAACAGCTGATATGAATGGCAAACAGAGTTACTAGGAGCAGGGCAAGGTACAGTACTATTTATAGTGCTATTTGCAGGCAATCTGGGATATAAAACACCATAGCAACATGAGCAGCATGAAGTTAAATTTGGCATAAAATTAGTGCAATAGAGCAGGAAGAGCATGTTTGACTGCTTTGGATATGTAGTATGTTGCAGTGAGAATAGTGTCATGTGTGTGTACTGTAGCAGCAGTCTAGTTGATTTCCTGAACTGAGATTACCAAATATATTTTTTCGTGTCAAATGTTAAACATGTTTATAAAGGAACCAATCTCTTTCCAGTCCTGTTACCTAGTCTTGGTTTCATTTGGGGGCATCTGTGTCAGATACTGAACGTAACAGAATAGCAGGCCTATCTCTCGCCTTCTCTCTCTATGTGACACACACGCACTCAGTTTTCTGGGAGGATCCACTAATTAGACTTGGTCGATTCACAAACTCAACATGTTGACATCATCTGATCAAGCAGAGATCAAAGAGTTTCTAATGACACGCCAGACTTTGAGCACACCAGGCCGGGAATATTTAAGAAGATATCAAACTTGACTCACTTATTGACTTGCAAGAACTCCAAGTCCCAGTTTCAAACATTTCAAAGTTTGCGGTGGAGCTTGGCATATGTCCGCAAAGGCATATTTTGTTATGTAATGATAATAACAACTCTGTCTCAAAAAAATGTGTTTGTTATGCATAGAAAGAAGCGTACTTTGAGACACCATCTGCAAGTCTCATCACAAATCTGTCCATCTCGCCCATAGGACCAATTCAAATATCTCAAGTAGTTTACTGAGAAATGATGGCCTGGCTCTGGAAAACAGTTCCATCGACAAAAACTACCAATATCATGCCAATAAAAAGCCACATACACTGAATGTACACTGGGCTATTAAATGTTGCACTCTATGTGAGTTTGTGCAAGTCATTTTGATTTTCTTAGCTTTAATACAATGAAGTATGATATAATGATACAAAATATGTATCAAAATATTGCATCTTTTTCCTGGTGGAAATTTCACTGGAATAATAAATAATATAATATTTAACTTAATTACAAAAATCATTACCTCCTTTCATAATTAAAAAAAATATTATAATAAACTAAAATTCATAAAACCTGGATTATAACATTTCGGAAAGGAATTCTACAACCACAATTTTACAACTATTGTCTATTGTTGGAGAAAAAGACACAGAGCCTCTATAGTCATACACACGACCCCATCTTTCATCTGTATTTCCCAGGTCACATTAGCTTGACACCCAATAAGGAAACACTTTGATAACCTTCTTCTTCTTGCCAGGGAGTGGTGCCCAGGGGTAAACAGCCTGCAGGATCCTCTGTTCTAGAAAACTAATGAAATCCGTCGTATTCTTGTTACTCAACCTTACACCCAACTTAACTGTAATGTGCCTCTGTTATTCAGGAGATCAAAGTTTGTCGCACGTGGCCACATCTGTGAATGGGCGTTCCATATCCGGCAGAAATGACCTCTAATGGTGGGAGCAACACCTGCACCTAACATGGTAAAGTAAAATACTAAAACTAGACAATAGGGAAGGAAGTCAGGCAGGCCCAGGACAGATGAAAGACTTCCTTTCACTACGCTGGCAAGGTAAGCATGAGGGAATAGGGGAACCATATGGCTGGTGCCTTAAGTCTTGGTGTTTTAGCAAAGTGAAGTTCAGGGACATTAGATGTGGTTTAAATGAACAGCTGGGCACACAAACAAACAACTCTGAACTGATGGTTGTAGGCTTCCGTCAGATGTAGTGAAGTTCACATTTAGATACTTTTCCCACATGCAGTCGATCACTCACCCTATGGATCATACAACTGGGTATGAAACAAAAACAAGAAAAAGAGGCTATCAATAGTTCAACATGCTATTAAAGTGCATCAAGTGAGATAGTTATAATGGTCATTATATAACTTTATAACTATATAACTTAACATTATATAACTATACAAATATTCTGAAATGCCAAGGTGAAACATTAACTTTGGTAAGCGACTGAAAGCTGTAGCATTTAGCGCTGCCTCACTTATGTGAAGTCCTTAAATAGTTATCACCAAAGGTATCAGCTTTTATTTGACCTTTTAAAATAGTAATTATGTGGCATCTGAAATGGCTGTTTCATTCAGAAGATGGGCATGAAAGACAGTGAAGATTTTAGAATAACCACTGGAGGAAGAATTGTTCTGATCTTCTTCTTCAGTAAAAGTACCAGTGCAACAATGTAAAAATACTACATGCTATATATTAGAAGTAAAAGTACAGAAGTATTATCAAAATCTAGTAAAAGTGAAAAGGAGTCTGAAGGAAAATAGCCCCTGTGACTGATATACTGTTATATATGAAATTATTGTTAATACTGATGCATCAACACATGAAAAGCATTTTACTGAGCTAGTTTTAACTTCTTTATGTACAGTTGAGTGGTTTAGTCATGTGGTTCACAACCAGCCCCTCCAAAGTATAACAAATTAAATCTGATTAATGGTGTTGAAAAGAAGAAAATACAAGGTTCTACCGCACAAATCTGTTTTAATTTCCTTGAACTTTTTTGTCATCTTGTTTTGTGACATATTGCATACTTTTACCTCTTTGAGCCTCAAACTGAAATCTGGATTAAACCATCATGAGAAGTTTAGTGGGGAAATGTCTCTTTGGTGGAACTCCTCAGACATCTGCTTTTTTGTGAGGGGTCACAAGCCAGAAAGGTTGGGACCCACTGGTTTAATCTTTAGCAACGTGTTACAATGCAAAATCTTAATGAAGTGGAGTAGAAGTATAAAGTAGCATGAAATCAAATTACTCAAGTAAAGTACAAGTACCTCAAAACAGCAATAAAGTGCTTGAATAAATGAACTAATAATTATGATGCCAGCATGGAGTTGGACTGCTAGCCCCCTGAAAATATTTTGATGAGCTGCTGACTCACTCTGAAGGAGTTTTGTGCAGGAATAATGGCAAAAATGTGCCATTAGAAACCGCTGCACATAATGTGAACCAGCCAATGTTGGTCTGTGCCAAGAGAACAACCACTTTTTCTAAAATGTTCCCTTTGTCAACAGTGACCCCTGCTGACCATTTCACTCAAGTACAGTTAACTCCATTCCATTCCTGTTAACGGGGAGTGACCAAAACACATAACCCTTTGATTGTATTTGTAAAAATATTATTTTCAATTGCTTAATATCTTAATAAGTGTTGTGTTTTCTCTGACATTCTGTAATTGTATGCCCTTTTATCCACAGTAACAATATAGATGTAGAAAAATTGGAGTAGGAATAAACACATGTAGACGTTGGTTTGCTTTTTAACTAATTTATTGAATTCTTCTGTTTTGAGAGTAAATATAAATGTGCTTGATAAGATCTTAAATCTTGTAAACAAATGTAGAAAAGTTAGCTGATCATAATGCATTAAAAACAGTACTAGTAACATTTGTAGCACTACTTCCTTTTTTAAAATAGTGAAATGTACGTCATTCATTGTTTTTAAAAATCTTCTCCGATATAATGGTTTTATTTTTAACCAGTAAAAATGCAGCAAAAACTTCTTCCATCAGGAGTTGCTGGTAAAATTTTCAACCAGACTGAGGTAAACATGTTGGTATTGCACAGATCCTCATGATCCTGTCCTGACTTCATCTGTACTGAATCAAATACTCAGGATATATTTGATTTGAATCAAAAATAACAAAAATATTTGGATGCTTTTTAACATCCACACAGCTGTCGTGAGAGTTTTCAGGACTTCGATCATCAGGTTTTCGGAAATCAGATTGTCCAACAATTGATTTTCCGATCATCACCCGAGCCAAAAATACTATTTTAGTGTCTCTGAGTACACTTCCAGTTCCTCCGACATACAGTGGCAATGGATCCGTGCTGCTCTTGCTGTATTTATCTGCATATGTTGCATGTTTTGCAAAATATACTCCTAAATAAAAACAAGGAAAGTCAGATCAGCTGAGGGAATTCTGGTGAGACCAACTTAAATAATCATTTATATTGTATATTCTGTTTATTGTTGAACAGACAGTTGTTACTGAATAATTAAATCTACCTTTGCCATATACGTTGCCATGTTGTCCAGCTAGCCGTACATCAAAGTTATACTTGCAAATGCTGTCGACATTTTTGATATCCGTCCCATGAAAGAGTCTCCGCTCTTGAATTTCTTTGACACCTTGAATCCTCATTAACTGTTTCTTTTTGCTTTGACACAAACAAAGAAAAATACAATTTTAGTGACAAAAGAGGGGAATGATGAAAGGAATGGAAAGAGGTCATGTTAAAGACCTTCTTACCAACAATACATTTCCCAGAGGTCCAAATTCTGTATCCTGCTGATTGATACGATGGATCTGTCCAAAAGCCCATCTTCCCTAACATAACCTGCCACAGTGTTGTACTCAGGGGTGAGGTCATTCAAAGGGATTAACTGTAAGATAAATTAAGAATACACATTTAATAAAGTCTTCAGTTGAAAAGAACAAACATGAAAACATATGGTATATATTTTGAATTGCAAAGCCTGTGTCTAATTTTTTATGAATATGAACATACTTCTTCCTGAGAAATTGGTTTAGCTGGCTCAACGGTGATGCTAATACATCTTACAGCCTTACCTTGCCTGACTGAACTATGATGTTTTTATGAAGTTTTTTCTGCCTTACTTTACTATGACGTTTTTATGACTTTGTATGCCTTAATGTAATATGACAATTTAATGACTTTTTATGCCTTACTATACAATGACGTTTTTATGCCTCACTATACTATGATGTTTTTATGACTTTTTATGCCATACTATACTATGATGTTTTTTACCTTAATATACGGTGACGTTTTTATGCCATACTATACTATGATGTTTTTTACCTTAATATACGGTGATGTTTTTATACCTTACTATACTATAACATTTTTTTCACATTTTCTACCTTGACATTTCTATGCCATACTTTATTATGGTGTTTTTTCACTTTTCATACCATACTATTGTATGTCGTTTTTTTCACTTTTTAGGCCTTACTATACTATAACATCTCTTGACCTTCAATGCCTTACTATACTATGACGTTTTTTCACTTTTTTGCCATACTATACTATGTGGTTCTTTTCACTTTTTAGGCCTTTCTACATTATGATGTTTTTTGACCTTTTATGCCGTACTGCAGCATGTTGTTTATATAACTCTTTATGCACTATTATACAATGACGTTTTCTCACTTTTTTTAGCCATCCTATAGTATGTTGTTTTTTTCACTTTTTAGGCCTTACTATAGTATGTCGTTTTTTAAATTTTATAACATACTATACTGTGGTGTTTTTTTCACTTTTTATGCCTTCCTATACTATGACGTTTTTTCACATTTTTGCTATACTATACTATGTCATTTTTTTCACTTTTTAGGCCTTTCTACATTATGACTCTTTATGCATTATTATACAATGCCGTTTTCTCACTTTTTAGGCCATTTTATACTATGACGTTTTTTTCACTTTTTATGCCATACTGTACAATGTAATTTTTTTCACGTTTTAGGCCTTTCTAAATTATAACTCTTTATGCATTATTATACAATGACATTTACTCACTTTTTTTGCCATTTTATACTATGATGTTTTTTCACTTTTTATGCCATATCATACTGCCTTATCATTGCCTTATCATGCTGTGTCGTTTTTTTTAATTCTTATGCTTACTATACTATGACGTTTCTATGCCCTACTACATTATGTAGTTTATTCATCTTTCATGCCATATTATAGTATGTCGTTTTTTTCAATTTTTTGGCCTTACTATATTATGCCATTTTTATGCCCTAATATACTTTGTAGTTTTTTCACTTTTTATGCCATACTATACTATGTATTTTTTTTTCACTCTTTCGGCCTTACTATACTTTAACGTCTTTTGACCTTCGATACCTCACTGTAGTATGTAGTTTTTTCAAATTTTATAACATACAATACTATGGTGTTTTTTTTCACTTTTTATGCCTTCCTATACTATGGTTTTTTCAAGTTTTTGCCATACTATACTATGTCATTTTTTTCACTTTTTAGGTCTTTCTACATTATGACTCTTTATGCATTATTATACAATGACGTTTTCTCACTTTTTTTGCCATTTTATACTATGATGTTTTTCCACTTTTTATGCCTTACTATACTATGACGTTTCTATGCCGTACTATAGTATGACGTTTTTTCACTTTTGAGGCCGTACTATACTATGATGTTTTTTCAAGTTTTTGCCATACTATACTATGTCATTTTTTTCACTTTTTATGCTTTTCTACATTATGACTCTTTATGCATTATTATACAATGCCATTTTCTCACTTTTTTTCCATTTTATACTATGATGTTTTTTTCACTTTTTATGCCATACTATACTATGACGTTTTTTGTTTTTCATGCCATACTATACTGTGATGTTTTCCCACTTTTTATGCCTTACTATACTATGATGTTTCTATGCCCTACTATATTATGTAGTTTTTTTCACTTTTTATGCTTTTCTACATTATGACTCTTTATGCATTATTATACAATGACGTTTTCTCACTTTTTTTGCCATTTTATACTATGACGTTTTTTTCACTTTTTATGCCATACTATACTATGATGTTTTTTCGTTTTTCATACCATACTATACTATGATGTTTTTTCACTTTTTATGCCTTACTATACTATGAAGTTTCTATGCCATACTATAGTATGTCATTTTTTCACTTTTTAGGCCTTACTGTACTATGACGTTTTTTCAAGTTTTTGCCATACTATACTATGATGTTTTTCCATTTTTTATGCCTTACTATACTATGACGTTTCTATGCCCTACTATACTATGGTGTTTTTTTTCACTTTTTATGCCTTTCTATATTATGACTCTTTATGCATTATTATACAATGACGTTTTTTTCACTTTTTATGCCATACTATACTATGTCATTTTTTTCACTTTTTAGGCCTTTCTACATTATGACTCTTTATGCATTATTATACAATGCCATTTTCTCCCTTTTTTTCCATACTATACTATGACGTTTTTTCGTTTTTCATGCCATACTATACTATGATGTTTTTCCACTTTTTATGCCTTACTATACTATGACGTTTCTATGCCCTACTATATTATGTAGTTTTTTTCACTTTTTATGCCTTTCTACATTATGACTCTTTATGCATTATTATACAATGACGTTTTCTCACTTTTTTTGCCATTTTATACTATGACGTTTTTTTCACTTTTTATGCCATACTATACTATGACGTTTTTTCGTTTTTCATGCCATACTATACTATGATGTTTTTCCACTTTTTATGCCTTACTATACTATGACGTTTCTATGCCCTACTATATTATGTAGTTTTTTTCACTTTTTATGCCTTTCTACATTATGACTCTTTATGCATTATTATACAATGACGTTTTCTCACTTTTTTTTGCCATTTTATACGATGACGTTTTTTTCACTTTTTATGCCATACTATACTATGACGTTTTTTCGTTTTTCACACCATACTATACTATGATGTTTTTCCACTTTTTATGCCTTACTATACTATGACGTTTCTATGCCATACTATAGTATGACGTTTTTTCACTTTTGAGGCCTTACTATACTATGACGTTTTTTCAAGTTTTTGCCATACTATACTATGTCATTTTTTTCACTTTTTAGGCCTTTCTACATTATGACTCTTCATGCATTATTATACAATGCCATTTTCTCACTTTTTTCCATTTTATACTATGACGTTTTTTTCACATTTTATGCCATACTATACTATGACGTTTTTTCGTTTTTCATGCCATACTATACTATGATGTTTTTCCACTTTTTATGCCTTACTATACTATGACGTTTCTATGCCCTACTATATTATGTAGTTTTTTTCATCTTTCATGCCATACTATAGTATGTCGTTTTTTCAATTTTTTGGCCTTACTATATTATGCCATTTTTATGCCCTAATATACTTTGTAGTTTTTTCACTTTTTATGCCATACTCTAGTATGTAGTTTTTTTTCACTCTTTCGGCCTTACTATACTTTAACATCTTTTGACCTTCGATACCTCACTGTAGTATGTAGTTTTTTCAAATTTTATAACATACTATACTGTGTTGTTTCTTTTCACTTTTTTTGCCTTATCATACTGTCGTTTTTTTTAATTTTTATGCTTACTATACTATGACGTTACTATGCCCTACTATATTATGTAGTTTTTTCATCTTTCATGCCATATTATAGTATGTCGTTTTTTTCAGTTTTTTGGCCTTACTATATTATGCCATTTTTATGCCCTAATATACTTTGTAGTTTTTTCACTTTTTATGTCATACTCTAGTATGTAGTTTTTTTTTACACTTTCGGCCTTACTATACTTTAACGTCTTTTGACCTTCGATACCTCACTGTAGTATGTAGTTTTTTCAAATTTTATAACATACAATACTATGGTGTTTTTTTTCACTTTTTATGCCTTCCTATACTATGGTTTTTTCAAGTTTTTGCCATACTATACTATGTCATTTTTTTCACTTTTTAGGTCTTTCTACATTATGACTCTTTATGCATTATTATACAATGACGTTTTCTCACTTTTTTTGCCATTTTATACTATGACGTTTTTTCACTTTTTATGTCATACTATACTATGACGTTTTTTCGTTTTTCATGCCATACTATACTATGATGTTTTTCCACTTTTTATGCCTTACTATACAATGACGTTTCTATGCCATACTATAGTATGTCGTTTTTTCACTTTTGAGGCCTTACTATACTATGACGTTTTTTCAAGTTTTTGCCATACTATACTATGTCATTTTTTTCACTTTTTATGCTTTTCTACATTATGACTCTTTATGCATTATTATACAATGCCATTTTCTCACTTTTCTTCCATTTTATACTATGACATTTTTTCACTTTTTATGGCTTACTATACTATGACGTTTCTATGCCCTACTATATTATGTAGTTTTTTTCACTTTTTATGCCTTTCTACATTATGACTCTTTATACATTATTATACAATGACGTTTTCTCACTGTTTTTGCCATTTGATGACGTTTTTTTTCACTTTTTATGCCATACTATACTATGACGTTTTTTCGTTTTTCACACCATACTATACTATGATGTTTTTCCACTTTTTATGCCTTACTATACTATGACGTTTCTATGCCATACTATAGTATGTCGTTTTTTCACTTTTGAGGCCTTACTATACTATGACGTTTTTTCAAGTTTTTGCCATACTATACTATGTCATTTTTTTCACTTTTTATGCTTTTCTACATTATGACTCTTTATGCATTATTATACAATGCCATTTTCTCACTTTTTTTCCATTTTATACTATGACGTTTTTTTCACTTTTTATGCCATACTATACTATGACGTTTTTTCATTTTTCAT